GTCCAGCTTGTGATTTTTTCATATGTTTTGCCCATCAATTTGATATTTGCTATGGCTTAAAAGGCCATAACGGCACCTACCTATGGATTTTTCAGCATGCTGAACCAACGTAGCAAATTACAATGAGCAATTTCACAAGTAGTGGAATTTTACATAATAAATACTGCATTTAAGTGTATTATATTACCTAGAATCAAGTCTTTGTAGTTAAGTCAACTGTTACCTTATGTGCAGACTTAACAACATGGACCAATAAAGAGTCCAACAATTTCAAGAGTGCCTACATCATTAAAAGAGAGCAAATCCCACTGATCTCAAGCAAGGCTTTCATCATGTCATTATCTCCATCTGATTCTGCATGATTCAGTGCCTTTACTTGAAGATGGGTCCATAAACAAATGAGTTGGTTTGTGCAGAGATTGCTCAGGTCAATTGTGGTTGGAGTTTAATGAGAAATATCTGTCCCGTGAAGCCTTACATTGTAGAGATACAACCTTGAAATCCCTTGTTATTCACACACTTTACCAATTCATAGCGATCTTCAGCAGAATCTAATCTGCTGATTAGATCATTCTATGCCAGACATCTATGCCAGACAACTATGGAAAAAATACAGTATTTGCACAAAGAATAACTGAACAGACATAGAGAAAATAAATAAGCCTTTACCCACTGTGCCAAGTTTTGCAAAAAGATATGGAAAGAATGAAAAGGTTAAAAGGAAGGGCAACAAATATAAGTAGTTTAGCACTTAATTTCAGTTATGAATGGAAGCCATGAAAACTATGAAAAGCCATTAAAAGTATTTATTACAAAACAGGAAATCACAGGTCTGATTATGTTGCCACTCATAAGTGTGAAATTCTAGAACAGACGTCCCACAGGAAAGCTACCACAGGAAAGAACTTAATAGAGGGCATGAATGAAGTACTGTGCTTCAAGGGCCATTGGAATGAACCCAGCCTCCTAAACCTGTTTTTTCTTCAAAATATGAGACTGCTTCAAGAGGAAAATGTATTTCCAGTCAGATGGGCCAGAATCAATGATGATTTAGAGCAGCGTTTTTTTCCCCTGTGGGTCAGCAATAATTCAAAGGTACTTTGAAGGACTTTAATAAGAATACCTAGTGTGTGTTTAAAACGGATTTAGAGGATCAAATTTGCCAAACAAACGAATTTAGCATGGGAGAAAAATACGTATATTCATCATGTTATTGTGTGAAAAAGTTAATGCCAGAAAACTTGCATGTTCTGTTTGTAAGGATGTCAGGTACTCAACATAAGAGAAAAAGGTAAATTTGCTTCCTTTTTCTTTTTTTTTTCCCCACAAGAAGCTGATGTAGTTTGTTCAGGTAGAACGTATTCTTTTTAAGTCATCAGTAGTGAAGATAGTAACTGAAGATCATGAAGAAAGAAACATGTATTTTTGTTCTGATGCTATACGAACAACCCGCTTCTTACCCCCTTCCCCCCCAAAAAAGCACACAAGAAAACCCAATACATATTTTTGTTTTGATTTCTTCCCACCTTGCACACAACTCATGAACCAGTGCTCCCTTGCTTCATTAAAAAATTTCTAGCTCACTCCTTCCTCTTTTTCTCTCTTGTCAGCTCTGAACAGGAGTCATAGGTACTACTGCTGAGCTGGGGAATGCAGGTCCACAGAATAGATCAACAGCATAAGGATATTATTCTGTCAGGAAGACCTGGATGGTAAGGAAAGGACACTTCCACTTACCACTGTAGCATCTCTATTTGATGGTTTCTGTTGCCTCTCTTGGTTGCTTTCAGGGAGTGCTGGGTTTCCAGTCCTCTTCCCAAAAAAAAGCTGATGTAAATTTTTGGGTCACCACACTAGGTGAGAGCCAACTGCAGAGGTCCGACTTTTTTCCCTTGACAGAACAAATGTTTTCTAGATGCACACATATCAGTTGGTATAGAAAGAGAACTCTGATATCCTTGAATTGGAGCATGCCTTTGTTGAGTTTTGTAGAATCATAGAATATTCTGAGTTAGAAGGGACCCACAAGGATCAGCAAGTCCAACTCCTGTCTCCACAAAGCACCATCCAAATTCTAAACCCATTACTGAATAGCAGTGGGTGGGATTGCTGTCATGACTGGAGTGCTGCAGTGAATGGCTATAAGCTCTTCAGAAGGGATAAGCAAGGAAGGAGAGGTGGTGGCATGGCTCTCTATGTTAGAGAGTGTTTTGAAGTTGCTGAGCTCAGGGTTGTGAATTACAAGGTTGAATCTCTGTGGGTAAGAATCGAGGGGAAGGCCAACAAGGCGGACATCGTGATGGGGGACTGTAATAGACCTCCTAACCAGGATGAAGAGATGGATAAAGCATTCTATGAGCAGCTGGCAGGAGTTGCGCAATCGCTAGCCCCCGTTTTCAACTTCCCTGATATATGCTGGAAAACCAGCACACAAGAAGCATTCTAGGAGGTTTCTGGAGTGTATGGAAGATAACTTCCTGACACAGCTGGTAAACAAACCTACCAAGGGATATGCCCTGCTAGACCTGCTGTTCAAAACAGAGAAGGACTGGTGGGAGGTGTGGACACGGGGAGCTGTCTTACAAAATGGTAGATTTCTTGTTTCTTGGTGATGTCAGAAGGCGGGCTAGCAAAACTGTTACCCAGGACTTCCAGAAGGTGGATTTGGAACTGTTCAGGACACTGGTAGGGAGGTCCTTTGTCATTTAGTCCTGAAGACTAAAGAGATCCAGGAAGGCTGGTCGCTCTTCAAGAAGGAAATCTTCAAGGCACAGAAGCAGGCTATTCCTTTGTGCCACAAGATGAGTTGGCAGAGAAGACTGACGTGGATGAAAAGAAAACACTTCCTGGGTTCCAGGAGGAAAAAAAAAATCTACCTCCCATGGAAGAAGGGACAGGCAACTCGAGGAGAGTACAAAGAAGTTGTTAGGATATGCAGGGAGAAAATTAGAAAGGCAGAAGACCAGCTTGAACTCAACTTGGCCACTTGGATAAAAGAGAACAAAAAACATTTTTACAAATATAATAACAGTAAGAGGAGGGCTAAGGAGAATCTCCACCCTGTATTGGATGCAGCAGGGAATATGACCACTGAGGATAATGAAAAGGCTGAGGTTCTCAATGCCTATTTTACATCTGTCTTTAAAAGTCAGACTAATTATCCCCAGGGTACTCTACCCCCTGACTTAGAAATCTGGGATGGGGAGCAGAATAAACTCCCCACAATTTAGGTGCAAACTGTTAGAAACCTACTCCTCCACCTGGACAATACAAGTTCATGGGGCTGGATGGGATCCACCCAAAGGTGCTGGGGGAGCTGGTTCAGGTGATTGCCAAGCCACTATTCACCACCTACAAGTGTTCCCGGTCAACCAAAGAGGTCCCAGAGGATTGGAGACTTGCTGATGTGACTCTAATCTACAAGAAGGGTCATAAGGAGGACCTGGGTACAGGTTCAGCAGCCTCACCGTGATGCCAAGAAAGGTTATGGAGCAGATCATCTTGAGTGAGACCACACAGCATATGTGGGACAACCAGGGGACCAGGCCCAGACAGCATGGGTTCATGAAAGGCAGGTCCTGCTTGACCAACCTCATCTCCTTCTTTGATTTAGTGAGCCATCTGGTGGATAAGAAAAAGACTGTTGATGTAGTCTACCTAGACTTCAGCAAAGCCTTCAACAATGTCTCCCGCAGTGTTCTGGAGAAGCTGGCAGCCCGTGGCTTGGACAGGTACACTCTTGGCTGGGTAAGGAACTGGCTAGAGGGCCAGGCCTGGAGAGTAGTGGTGAATGGAGTTAAATCTAGCTGGCAACCAGTCACAAATGGTGTTCCCCAAGAGCTGATATTGGAGCCTGTCCTGTTCAATATCTTTACTGATGACCTGGATGAAGGCATTGAGTGTACCCTCAGTAAGTTTCCAGATGACACCAAACTGGGAGGAAGTGTCAATCTGCCTGAGGATAGAAAAGCCCTACAGAGCTATCTGGACAGACTTGATCACTGGGCTGAAGCCAATGTGATGAAGTTTAACAAGACCAAGTGCTGGGTTCTGAACTTTGGCCGCACCAACCCCAGGCAATGCTACAGGCTTGGGGCAGAGTGGCTGAAAGACTGTGTAGAGGAAACAGACCCGGGGATGTTGGTTGACACTCAGCTGAGCATGAGCCAGCAGTGTGCCCAGGTGGCCAAGAACACCAATGGAATCCTGGCTTGTGTCAGAAATAGCATTGCTAGCAGGAGCAGGGAAGTGATCATCCCTCTGTACTCAGCACTGGTAAGGCTGCACTTCAAGTACCGTGTTTAGTTTTGGGCTCCTCACTGCAAGAAAGACATTGAGGCCCTGAAGCATGTCCAGAGAAGGGCAACGAAGCTGGCGAGAGGTCTGGAGCGCAAGTCTTATGAAAAACAACTGAGGGAATTGGGATTGTTTAGCCTGGAAGAGGTTCAGGGGACACCTTACTGCTCTCAGTAACTCCGCGAAAGGAAGTTATGCTGAGGTGGGGTCAGCTAGCGACAGCACTGGAGGGGATGGCCTCAGGTGGCACCACAGAGACTCAGAATCGTGCCCCTTGACCTGCTGGAAGCATGCCTCCTAATGCACCGAAGAATACTGGAAGCCATCCCAGCACCAAGGGCGCACAGCTGACTCATTCGACATGGTGTCCACAAGGACCTCTTGGTCCTTTCGTACCAGGCCTCTTACCAGCTGCTTAGCCCTATCCTGTCCAAAGCCTGGGGAGCTTCCTCCGCAGGGGCAAGCAGACTTTGCACTTGTAGATCAGGCTCTCCCTGTCCATACCCAGCACACACAGGGGTGCTGCCAGCGCGCACACCGAGACACCGCGGCGGGAAGCCGAGGAGAACGGCGTCGTACGGGGAATCCCAGCCGGGCTGCAGAACCTCGACCGCCTTCACACCCTCCGCCGGGGGCGGTCGTCCGTGCCCGGCCCCGCGGCGGCGTGATGCAGCGCTCGGCCCTCGCGCACGGCTCCCTCCGCCCCCAGCCCCCGTCCCTGCCCGTCGCCGCACAGCGCCAGCCACCCGCGGGGGCGGAGGCAGGGCCCGAGCACGACGCAGCGCCGGGAGGCAGCCTCGCCCGTCAGCCGCGCAGCCAGCCCCGGCCCGAGGGGAGCAGTCCCCATGGCTGACCGGAGCCTGATCGAGGGAGCCGAGCCCTTCCCGCGGAGGGAGGAGGCTCCGGAGTGGGGCTACGAGGAAGGTGAGGAGCGGGCGCCGGACGGCGGCTGCGGCGGGGGAAACTTTCCCCACGGGCAGAGGAGGTGGTGCTGGAGGATTTACATCGCGGCGCGGTGGGGAGGAGGATGGCGGGGGAGCCGGGGAGCCCCGGGGGCGACCGATAACGGCCACGTCTTTGGCGGGGGCGAGGCGGGGGCTCCGGGGATGGATCGCCACGTAACGACTTCTCCCGGCGTTGCAGGGGTCGAGTGGGGACTGATTTTTCCCGACGCCAACGGGGAGTACCAGTCGCCCATCAACTTGAACTCGAGAGAAGCGAAATACGACCCCTCGCTCCTGGAAGTGCGCCTGTCGCCCAACTACGTCGTGTGTCGCGACTGCGAAGTGATTAACGACGGGCATTCCATTCAAATCGCACTCAAGTCCAAATCAGGTATGCCTCGACACTGCTTACGCTTCTTCGGCGGCGTTCCCTGGGCGCTCGCTGCCTCTCGGGCTGCTGTGCGCCCATAGGAGGGGCTGCTTCAGCGCTGGCTGCGGCTCGGAGGAGGGGTGGGTGCTGCTGCCTTGGGACGGGCTTTGGGAAGGGAGCGTGTCAGCGCCAAGCTGGATGGGCAGCGAGGGTGCTCCAGAGCACGTTTGGGGACTCTCAGAGCAGGGGTTGGACCCTGCTGTGGTACTGTCATCGAGTGTGCTGACAGCTGTCTGCTATTGCTATTGCTAGGACGGTGTGATGCCGAACTGGCAAAATCTGTCCATTTTCTGAAGTCCGTGTAAGTTAAACTAAACTTTTCCATTAATTTCAGTGGGCTGTGAGTACTAACTAATCAGTTAACACAGATACTCCGGTTATACATACCTGCAATATTGATGAAGAGCAGGTAACAAAGCAGTCCTCATTTCTTAAAAGGTTTTTCAGGTTAATTCAACAAATAAGAACTAGAAGCTGATAAACAGTTTCAAGTTTAGTGAAATGACAGTATCTCGTTCAGATCTTCCATGTGGATAAACTATTCTCTACAAAGGAGACAACTGTCAGGGGACTTGGCAAAGAAAGCTCATTGTGCTTTCCAGCCCTGTGGTAGTTCTTGCCGTGTGTTTTGAAGAGTGTCCAAGTTATTATAACCAGTCTTAGCTAGCAGTTGCCTTCTGGGGGCATTTAAAAGCTGAAGGTTGTCAAACCACAAGACAGCCCAACTTTTGTTTCCTTCTGAGATCCCAATAGTCCTATGAGCTGCAGCTGTGTTGGTGGTGAGGCAGTCAGTTCAGTTTTACACTAATTTTTTTAAACAGAAGCATTTGTTCTTTGAATAATTATGTTTTCCTTTATGATATATCTGTTCCATGGTAAATTTCATATTTTATTACAAAACAGAACACTTGTTTCCACAGATTTTTGCAGATTTCCAGTAGAACAGAAATTTTGTACTTTCTGTCAGTTTTATTGCCTTCATCAGAAGCAGGGCTCTTTTCTCAGAGAGTAAGATTCTCTCTACTAGATCAGGAAAGTCACTGAATTCTCCTCCAGAGTAAGACTGATTGCAAACAACACTGTCGCTTGCATGCCAAAGTGCAACTCATTAAACCCTCCTTTCTGCAGGCAGTTTGTAACTTCGTAGCAATAATTAGTAAGATGGGACTGACACACCATGTGCGTGTTCAAAACTATTCGAGACCCAGGAAAAGAAAAATACTTTTTAAACCGGAATGCAGATTGATGTCAGACTAATGAGTGCTGAAATGTAAGAAATTAAGTGAAATAGAATGAAAGTTTTATGAGTGAGATATGGGATTAGGACTTAGGAATTCCTGATTTACTTTCAATTTCTTCTTAGTTTCGTATTCCCTATTTTTCCATTTTTAAACGGGATAATTTTTCCACGTTTAGAGGGAGACATTACTTACCTCTACAAAGGGAAGAAAAGAGTTAAGAAGCTGTGTTTGACCTAGTATTCTGGCTAATATTCAGGGATTGCGGAAACTCCTGCAGATTCTCTTCCTCACAGGGGATCTCTGATGACAAATCCATTTAGCCAGATTGTTTTAATGGGAACTGTTGAGCACTAAGTGCTTTTGAAACTTTGTCCAGTTGATGTGCAAGAGAGTCGCATCTACTGTAATGCTGTCAGTCAAAGAAGAACTTCTCTGTGGAAAACATAAACTGATTAAGTACATATTAAAAGCCAATTTGTTCTTTTTGGTGAATTATTTTATCCTTCAATTCAGGACACGCTCCATCTGGAATTCTCCAATCCTTCTTATTATATAATTGTAAACATTTTTACAGGCTGCTTTCAATTTGATCATCATACATATGTTATGCATTAGGTGGAATAAGCATGACCAACTGTGTTATGGAGTTGGATATTGAAAATTGCTTTGGAGGATCCATATAACAGAGAGAGTTCTCTTAAGCCATTAGTAGATTGCGAATCAGATGATTTGGTTTCTCGTAAGGATCAAAAATTGCTGGAAAGTATAGTTAAATGTTTCACACATTTATAAGGATCAGAATTTGATGAAAGGCAAAGAAAGATAACCATGTTTCATGCACTGAAATACTTTTATCACAGGATCAGTGTATAAATTAAGCTTCAAAAATGAAGTCTTAGAAGCTCCTGCAGATACAGAACTACTTCATATAGAAGACATTTAATCTAGCTACACTTTTTAGGAACAATATTTTAAAACAGGAAATGATCGGCTTTCCTAAGAAGTAACCCTAATTATCATGTAACTTTTTATTCTTCTACATTTTCCTAAGTACTTCAATTGGTTGTTTTCCCAAATATTCACTAGATTTGCAGATTTTTCCCAACAGATATAGGTATGAGTAGAATATAGGTAAAGAAAGTTTAAGAAGCAAGTTTAAATTCATAATCATATTTAGGACATTTAATCTGAGGAAGCCTTATAGCTGTTAGATTAATTATGATGAATCATTAAAAGAGAACTAATCTGAATATTTCTTCAGCACTAGTGACTGAAAACTGTAATTGATCAGGTTTTTTTTTTTTTTTTTTTAATCAGTATTTTTGTTTTTGTGCAGTTGCAGTATGATTCAATTGCTGAATTGTTTTACTACTACAGTGTATCTTATGGTCCAAACTACTCCAAGGCTACTTAGATTGTACATCAAAAAAACTTTTTTGTTATGGAACTGCTATTCTCTAAACCTGTACATTATCTAATTAAATAATCCTTATCAATTATCAAAGATTGTGAAAGTTTCAAAGTCAGTGAAATGTAAGCCAGAATGTGATGCAATATGAGGAATACTATGAGTGACTTTAAATGAAACCCAATCCTATGTAGAAGCCAGGACTCAAATGATTTTAGCATAAAGTTACCTACAGCATACAGAGTAGAAATTGGTATGAAGCCAATTCGCAAATCCCTGGGCCAAATATTTCCATTCATTAATTCTGAAGTAGGCTGGAACTCAAAAAAGTCCAAGCAAAATTGCTTGCTTTTAGTACTTATTGTTAGGGTAGAAGGCTCCATTAATGCAAAAGACTCAAGCTATTATGTGAAGCGGTTGCTTTGTGCAGTAAATATGGATAGATAGTTCTAAGAAATACTGGACTCTGTAAAAAAAATGTTAGGAAAAAGCTATTGCTGTTTAGAAGCTGTTTTTAAGGAAATAAGCACATGTATGATTATATATATTGATTATATTTCACTATGGAGGTATTCTGTATATCAGAGGCTGACAGGTGGCGTATGACTTACTACCTTTAACTTGGCAAATATTGGCAAGCAAAATTTTCTGTCAGCTTCTGTGGTACATAGCAAATATAGGTGATGAAAATTAAGCATTTTCAGGACTAGCTGAAGGTAGTGACCAGCTCGATTCACAACCTCTGCCATCTGTTTAAAGCATGTGGCTACCGTCTTGATAACAGCAATAAACTTATTCACTCTTCTGATAAAGGTACAGTGTTTTTATTTTGTGTTATGAACCACCTGTTCTGGCTTATAAAACTAAGAGTGCAGCATGACACTGTTTTCACTGTTGTTTATAACTGCCTACATTCTGTACCTGCACAGAAGTTCTAAAGTAAAGATCTCACCTCTGTCAACTTCCCTTTTTAACTCAGTTGAGAATAAGCTTGCAGCAATGTCCTCATTGTATTTAGAGAATATATCTATTGGCTTGTCTCATACAAAGCTGAGTGTATTACCATTTGTGTTCTTTCTCAGTGTTAATAGGGGGGCCATTACCTCGAGGACATGAGTTTGAACTACACGATGTTCGATTTCACTGGGGGAGAGAAAACCAGCGTGGTTCTGAGCACACGGTTAATTTTAAAGCCTTTCCTATGGAGGTAAGAGTGACACTGCATTGCATAAAACCATTTAAATCCAAAAGATTTCAATTCTTAGCTTGACTTTGTGGAAGTTCAAAAGAGATTTTCTTTTAGCTCAGCATTTTAGTGCTTTATATTTCACCTGCAAAACTGTCTTCCCGAGGCCTTGGGGACGGTAAATTAGGATAGACATCTGGAATAGAATGCCTCCAGCACTGACCCCATGTGATTAATTGGTCGTAAAGTTAACTTTCAGAATTATTAACTTCTGTCTTAACAATATTAGTGTTCTAACAAGATCTGCTGTTTCAACACTTCCTATGTCACCTTGACTAATAACTATATATGGGGAGAACTGGCCACTGGAAATGTTACCTTGGTGAATAATAACAGTTTAGGAACATTTGGAGGAAACGTATAGTAATTTGTTAAGGAAACAGCTTTACATATCTGAAATATGAAGGTTATGTGATACTCTTAGATATGTTCTTTAATATTTCAGTTAATTTCAAAATTTTGAAACACAAGCAAAGTAATAATGGAGTCTGAAAAAATTCAGCTCTTTACAAGATGCCAGTTTTGGACTCCCGTGCTCCCCAAATACTAGGACTAATGCCTTCTTCCCTCCAGCAGCCTTTCATTATTCACTGTTCACTTTCCCATTGCTTATACTTTTCCAGGAATATCTTGGAGTATCACTTAGACCATGGGCTACAACACTATCAGACACCAAATCTGATGTTTAATGACTTAAGCTTTGCAATTTTTATTTCATTTACTGTACTCTGTATTAGTTTTAAATAAACTGTCAAGATTTTTTTTCAGTTATCTTTGAGTTATTCTTGCCTTAAATATCTTTCATAATTCCTTAGGAGCCTGAAGCAATATTTTTCTTTTTTATTATTATTATTATTTATTTTTATTTTATTTATTTTTTTTTTTTTCCTGTTTTCAGTTCTAGGAAATTTATGGCAATGTTATTCGTGAGTTCAGACAGTGGGAATAGAACTGTTTTATAGTAAAGGCTATAGAAAGTATTAGAGTGCTTACAGAAGAACTCATTGTAAAATGCAAGTTGGCTTACACCATCAATCTAACTTTTAGGGTTGCTTAGATACTTTCTTTGGAGTGAAATGTAAGTTTCTGGTGTTGATTTTGCACTGGTTCATCACAAAAACCAGGCAAATATGAAGTCACTCAGTGGACTGTATGGACTGTATAGGTTGGTTTCAGGCAGATCTTGGCAATTCAGGAGAATTAATTGAGTGGGGAAGACTCAACAACCAAAAGGAAAGCAGAGAAATCACCTTTGCATCCTGGTTACCTGGCTTAATATAGTTTGTATGGGCAATAACTTCATGCTACTACAGTGTTCCTGTGATGCAGGAAATAGTTTGTTCATTGTGAAGCAGCTCTGCCTGGTGCTGTTCCTCAGGACAGATTCAGCATGTGGTGGTCAAGAAATGCTGACATAAATTATGCCAAGAATTGTTTTTGGGAATCCAGTTTCCAGTCTCTTCTTTTATCAAGGATCACTCTACAGACAGTCTTGGTGGCATGTAGGAACAGACTGATAATATCTGCAAGACTTACAATACGCTTTAAATATAGCATTAATGTTGAATTTTGCAAACAGATCCCTATGCAGATTAATTCTGGCAGAAAATGACAGCGTTGTTGATACCATCATATCCAAGATCTGTTGAGCACAGGTGTATTGTTTGAGCCACTTTATTATCTTCTGTTTCATGTTGCAAAAAAAAAAAAAAAAGCACTCTGTCTGACAGATGAGTTACATGCACTTCATTTCCTGTATCTGTGAAGAGCAGTTGTATTAAATCCAGCTCAAATTGTCCAAATTAAATATTGGACTTAAGGTGCTTGTAACCATTAATGAGTCCAGAATGGATGATTTTCTTTTTGTGTCCCAAGAATTCCCCCACCTTGTTGGTTTTGTGGACAACAAACATTTGGACTAGGGGACTGAGAAATTTATTTTCTTAACTTTTAACATCAGCATTATTTTATGCAGCTGTGGGAAATCAACATATTCTGAACACATACTGGGCTGGGAATTTCACTGGGCCTCTTAGTGAGCACTGAACATAAATGGTGATAGATGCCTATTTTTCAGATGCAGAGCACTTTGGGGGAGTTTATGCTTTCTTACTATACTAAGTGGTATTTGTTTCTTTGAACACAAATACATGGCTATAAATATAAATATTTAAATACATCGAGCACCAAGCGCGTAGTTTAGTTCTGCTGCCAGTGGGGCAAATCTAGCACAATGTTTCTCCTAACAAACTAGAGATGAATTTACAAAGCATTTCAAAGAATTTTGAACTCTCTTCCTTTTGCAAGAGGAAGACAAGCCAAGCAGATATGCAGTAATATGCAAACCTAAGAGCTTGATCTAACTGCGTGTGTTTACAACGCAACAGACTAGGTGCAGATTGCATGCTTCATTAAACTATTAGCAAATTGGAGCAGTTCTATAAAAAACAACGTGGAAACTTTGTGTTTAAAGAGATCTATCTGAACTGTTTATTATCTGGAGCGGCCCTGGTTTTTAGGACTGAAGAATGTAAAGCTATTTTATTATTATTTAATGGAACAGATAGTTGCAGAAGCTTCAGACTATCAGTGTAGTGATCTTTGTAAAGGATGACTTTAAAAAGTATTATTTTCAAGTCTGGAAGAAAACTCTTCACTTCTTAAATCTCTTAATCATAGAATCAAAGAATCATAGAATCATAGAATGGCTTGGGTTTGAAGGGACCTCAAGGATCATCAAGTTTCAGCCTCCCTGCCACAGGCAGGGCCACCAATCTCCAGATCTGGTACTAGACCAAGTTGCCCAGGGCCCCATCCAACCTGGCCTTGACCACCTCCAGGGACAGAGCATCCACACCCCTCTCTGAGCACCTCACCACTCTCTCTGTAAAGAACTTCCCCCTGACATCCAATCTAAACCTTCCCTCCTTGAGCTAAAACCATTCCTCCTTTCCTCTTACTGCCTACCTGAGTAAAAAGTTCATTCACCTCCTTTTTATAATCCCCTTTTAAATACTGGAAGACTGTAGTGAAGTCTCTTTGCAGCCTTCTCTTCTTCAGCCTGAGCAAGCCTAGCTCCCTCAGCCTGATTTCATAGGGGAAGCGCTCCAGCCCTTTGATCATCTTTGTGGCCCTACTCTGGACCCTCTCCTACCTCTCTACATCTTTCCCGTATTGGAACCCCAGACCTAGATGCAGTACTCCAGATAGGGCCTCATGAGGGCAGAGTAGAGAGGGATAATCACTGCCCTCTCCCTGCTGGCCACCCCTCTTCTGATGGAGCCCAAGATACCATTGGCCTTCCAAGCTGCAAGAGCACAGTGCTGGCTTGTGTTCAGTTTTTCATCTATCAAGACCCCCAGGTCCTTCTCCACAGGGCTGCTCTCAAGGAGTTCTTCTCCCAGTTTGTATACATAACTGGGATTGCTCTGACCCAAGTGCAAAACCTTGCACTTTGCTGTGTTGGACCTCATTAAGTTCACATGGGCCCACCTTCCGAGTCTGTCGAGGTCTCTCTGTATGGCATCCCTTTCTTCTGACATGTCAGTTGCACCACTCAACTTAGTGTTATTAGCGTACTTGCTGAGGGTGCACTCTAGCTCATTGAGGGTGCACTCAAGTCCATTAATCTTTAATCTCTGATACCATATCCGCTTGTATAGAAATTTAGCAATATCTCATATTAGTTAGGTAATATCCTGTGTCTCTTAGTGCAACAATCTATTATTTCTTACTCGACAGCTGGACCTTTGCACATGTTAAGATATATAGGTTCATGGTGAAGTAGATGTGACTCCTAAACTTAAGTAACTTTTGAAACAGCTTGAAATTGTTCACACTTGAGAAGAACATTATTTATATGAGTTGGAGGCTGAGTGCATTGTTATGTTTATTACTGTTTGAAGTTCAGTGAAGAAGTGTTTTCACCTTTCTTGACTGAAGAAGTCAGAATGTTGACAACAATATAGAAGCGTATTTGTTTTCATCAAAACATCTGTGCTTGCAATCAGTCAGGAAAATAAGACAAAAGAATAAATAGTTGTCAAAGGTGAATACTATAACACATTTTTTAATCAGAGGAATACTCTTCTCTTCGTTTCATAAAAAAAAAAAAAAAAACAGATCAGAAGGGCTGCTCTTGCGTTTTGGACAGAAACTGGAAGAAGACATGCAACTTTCTCCAGAAACTGTTCTCACTAAGTACTTCTACTGCACATAAATAGTGTTACTTGACCTTTGACTACCAGTTGTGTTGTGTTTTCAGTAACTGTCTTAACACTGGGAGACTGTTTCTTGTCAGTAAGTGGAACAAGGTACCAGAAAGTCAGGTCATGCTTTGCAGTACACATTTTCACAGAGCAGTAAAACCCATGCTTGTGCCCTCATGTATGTTAACTGAACCTGATTTAGGTTCAAACGAGAGAGGAACTATTCCATATATTTCTCTCTTTCATGCCAAGAGTGTGGATTATTAAACTCTAATGAGGGTCTGCCTCTCCTCCTTGTCTTTGCTGTGTAAGAGGGAGACAGATGGATACAGGAGTAGCAACGGACTGCTCGTGTCATGCCATGAGCATTTTTTCTTCTTTTTTAACAAAATTGCTATCGGGATACATAAAAATGGACTCCCATTGTACCTGATCTTTGTATCGACATGGCATATTGTAATGCCAGGCCTATCCAATTTATACTCCAAAAAGGACAGGAGAGCAGGAGAAAATGAACCATGGAATGACATCAATGCCTTTTTATGTAAAAAATTAATATGTTTTAACAGCTTCTGAAATGAAGGAAAATATAGGGAAAATTATGTCTTAAAGGTGTCTCTTCCTTGTATTTACTCAAGTGTTGGTGTAACCAAAGCCATAATTTGAGCATAAAGAAAATGTTGTTTCGAGGCTGCTGTTCTGAAATAAAACTGTAACTAAGGAATAAAAGGGCTCCTTTCAATGCTTGTATTT